TGTAAACCGCCCAGAGTCCCCCATTGTGGGGAGATGGGCGGGGACAAGTCTACTAAATAAAAATAATAATAATAAAATGACTTTTTCATCATCGTCGTAACTGCAAACGGTCACTAAGGCAGTTGCTAAACAAGGACAACCTGCATAGTGACCGTACTTACAAAACTAAGGACCAAGCCCAACTCTGCAGCACAAACGTTTGCTCAAGCTTTTGCACGGACCCCAAATGTGGCACCAAAAGAGAACACCAGCCACAACCCAGCAAAACCTCAAAAAGATCCCTGATGGTTCAGTTCCTTGGGAAAGGGGCTGACGATGAAGGCAAAGCTTGAGGGCTTCCAGCCACCTGTAGAGCAGCTCTTGCGCGACGGTGTCTCCATAGTCGTGTGAAAGGAGGTTGATCCGTTGATTCAAAAGGCCCAAGTGGCGCAAAAGACCCTCCACAATGCTGGCTTGTTCAAAGATGGAGTACTGATGAGGCCGCTGTTTGCAATGCAAAGGGAGAATGAGCATCAAATGCAAAGGTCAGCTCTGTCCTGCTAGTGGCAAACACCTACCTCAACTTTACCCCTCGGGTTACAAGCGGGCACTTCTCGGCTTCTGCAACGCCCCTTGGCAAGAGCCAAATGCAGACAAACAGCCAAGCAGAGGCGGCCACGGTCAAGATGGAAGCTGCGATCACACCACTGAAACCCCACACTTTGTGCGTGAAGGTGGGGAGCTTCAACTGCATGGTCACAGCTGCCATCTTGACATTCTGACCCCTTCAGAGATGCCCCTGATGCCACGCAAGACTTTTCCTTGCTTCTGCATGCCTGAATTGGGTCTCCCCTCCCCTTCCAAGATCTGCCTTCCCCTTTCTTCTGTTTTTGAAAAAAGGAAGCTAAGAAAGAAACCGCCCAGCGCCCTTCAAAACATACTCACAGGCTTGTCGCTGAAGCCGAACCCGACAAAATCCAGCGCGATCACCCGGTGAAATCGTTGCGTGAGCCCTTCCCAAATCTGCAGGCGAGGCGAGAAGGAAAAGGTGGGAGGGAGGGAGGGCCCCCGTCAGTTCCCTACGGCATCTCCACAGCCTTGCCCCCCCCACACTCACCGTTTCCGCTGCCCCCTCACCTTGTACCAGTCGTAACTGGAGGTCGGAAAGCCATGCAAGAGAACCACAATGTCCGAACTCCCGACAGCCCCGGGGGAATCTGAAGGAGAAAGAGAACAGCAGTCCAGCCGTTCGACTTCCCCGAATTTATCGTTATCAGCGGGTGAGCAAAAAACAGAGAGCAGATGCAACACCTGAGATGAATCTCTACATTACACCCCTTGCACATCAGCCAGAAGGGGTCAAGCTGTTCAGCGCTGGGGACAGATTTGGTCACCACCCAAGCACGACGCTCTTAAATTTGCAAAAAGGAAGCGTGCCCCTTTGTGGCTAAAGGAATCCTTTGAACCCTGGCCAAGTTTCTTCCCAAGCGTGTCACTGAAGCACTAGTTCTGCTGTATGTTAAACCACAAACTAGTTTTAAGTAGCTAATGTCTACTGCCTTTGTAGGGTGCCAGTTTGCTTCTACACCCAGCTGTGACTTTGAAAGCCCTAAATCACCCAGGATCAGAACATTTCAAGAATCACCTCTTTCTAAACAAGCCTCCTTCCACCAAGCTCTGTGGCGCTTTGAATTCAGTTCAGAAAAGGGGTTTCAAAACACCCAGGAGGGCCAAACGCAACTCCTCTCTGCAACTGATTAAAGCAGCTGCCTCTTTTTAGGGCTGCGCAACTGCAGCAGAAGCCTTGCTGGAAAATGCCACGGCCGCTTTAAACAGATCCCAGCAGGACTGAGTATGGGTTCCTATGTCCTTTGAAGCACCCTTCTGAATCGAACTCAGAGCGCTGCAGAGCCTCCCCATGCAAGAAAGGGTCTCTTCCGACCCATCACCAAGACTGGCATCACTGCTCAGTCACTGCATTTGGCCCCCACGTTGCCAGCTTTCCAACGGGCTGCAGGTTTCTTTCAGGAGTCTTCCTGAAAGTCATTCTTCATAGAACTGTCTTTTACGTCTGTGCCCCTCTTGTTATCTTATTTAGGACCGCTGCTCTGTTCCTGTAGCAAACGGCCTCGCGTGCCCCCTTCAGGAAAAGTGGCCAGGTATTTAAGGAGCTGAGAAATGCATCTACGAAACCTCTGAAAAAGATGTTCTGGGTTTTGTACGTGAAGAAACTCCCCGAGGACCGCCACGAGTGCAGAGCCGGAGACAGCTTGGGAGGCGGGATGTGCAGGTAAACCGCAACCAGGGGGACCATCAGCAGACCGACTTGAATCCACCACTCTCTCATTCTGGAAAGGGGGGGGAGAGGGGGGAAAAAAGAAGATAAACTAACTCCAAGGCAGGTCCCCAATTGGCACCTGGAGCAGCAGCTCGAAGGAGGCCCCGGGCAAAGCTTTCTCAGCCGGGCATCTGCCACGAAACAGGTGTGGGGCTTCCATCATTAAAACAGCAAAACATGGAGCAAGATTTGACACCCCCCC